CTCATGTTACATCCTCAGAGACTGCCGTTAATATGGTGTCCAGACCAGAGCGGATCAAAGCGACTTTGTCTGCAAAGAACTGAGCAAAAGCTTCACAGCGAACTGCCGAGTCATCAGGGCACCCATCCTGGATGGTGGGTTTTAAAAGGCCTCTGACAACTCGGAACAGTTCAGCCGGACGGTTCTTTGCAGACGCAATAGTAGCCGCAAAGAAAGTCTTCTTTGCGGCTTTTATTGCCGCGGCATATGCCCTTAAAAAGGACACAAACCGTGTTCGATTTGGCTCGCTCGGATTCGAACGCCACACGCTCTCTAGTTCCCTCTTCTTTCGCTTCAACGCTGCCAGCTCCTCAGTGAACCAAGGAGCTGGTTTAGCTCGGCTACTTGAGAGGGGACGTTCTGGAGCGATCGTGTCTATTGCTCTAGCCATCTCCCCATTCCAGAGAGCGACCAGGGCATCGACAGGATCACCAACCGAGGCGGCGGGAAATTCCCCAAGAGCCGTCAGGAATCCATCCGGATCCATAAGCCTCCTGGGGGACCAACTTAATGGGTCCTCCACCTCTGCAGAGGTTAGGGGGTGCAGTTAGTCTAAAGCTGACCAGGTGGTGGTCGGTCCATGGCAACGGAGAGATGGATAACTCCTCAACACCGCCACCTTCCTCCCATCCCTGGCAGAAAACCAAGTCCAATGTGTGTCCAGCACTGTGGGTGGGGCCAGATACCTGTTGGGACAGCCCCATGGTTGCCATGGCAGACATGAAGTCCTGAGCCGCTCCCGATAAGGCGGTCTCGGCGTGGACATTGAAGTCCCCCAGCACAAGCAGCCGCTGGGACTCCAATGCCAGGTCCGAGACCACCCCCGCTAGCTCAGTCAGGGAGTCTGTAGTGCAGCGAGGTGGACGGTACACTAACAGAATCCCTAATCTGTCCCGGTCACCCACCCTCAGGTGGACGCATTCAAAATTTGTTGACTGCGGGATGGGGGCCCTGGTCAGAAGAATGGAATCTCTATAGACCACTGCAACCCTGCCTCCCCGCCCTCCGGATCTTGGCTGGTGCTGCACAGAGAAACCTGGCGGGCAAAGCTGGGTCAAATTCACACCTCCAGCTTCGTCCAGCCAGGTCTCCATGATGCACGCCAGATCTGCCCGTTCATCCAGGATTAAATCCTGGATGAAAGTTGTTTTGCCATTGACAGATCTGGCGTTCAACAGCACCACCTTCAATCCGGAGGGACCGCCATCCTGGTTACACCAATTTACCATATCGGGAGACTGATTTGGAATTACTAAAGTTGTTGTACGGTCCCTAGGCCGAATTCGGGGTCTCCTTTTCCCGTATCTCCCCCTCCCCACCACGACTTCTATGGGGGCTCCCCAACCAACGGAACACCCTCCCTCCTCCATGACGCAATTCACATCCATAATTTCACCCCATGCTTCGCTGCTGGTTATCTGATTTGTTACCGATACAATTCGTTCTAGTTTTCCCTTCCATTCATTTCTTACCCGGACTCTGCTATTTCCAGAAATCTCCGATTCACTCCCCTCCTTACCTCCCCCACAAATAATTAACAGAAGGGTTAGCAAGTACCAGGGAATCGGGAGCAGCATGAATGGTGGGTGGGTGGTAAACACAATCAACAAGCTACCAAAGTTCTTAAAGTGCAGCAGGTAGTTGTATCAACCTCACAGTTCTTAAAGTGCGTTAGATAGATGTTAAGCACTATCAATGGCATTACCAAGTTTTTAAAGTGCAGCAGGTAGTTGTATCAACCTCACAGTTCTTAAAGTGCGATAGGTTTAACAAGATTGTTCTAAAGTGCTACAATAAGGTGCGTCATGGAGGACTGCTGATTTAAGTGCTAGAAGACTAGAACACTGGGTTAAAGTGCTAAGTTGAGCAGGGTAATGGACCAATACAGTACAAATAGCAATTTAAAGTGCTGGAAAATTAAGGTGCTGAGAGATTAAAATGTTGGAATTATGCAGATTAACCGCAGCACTCGGTATGTTGACAAAGATATTAAGGCAAACAGTTACAGGACAATAGACGACAGAAAGCGGATCCAGGGGTGGATGATATTGGTCCTTCCGGGACTAAAATTAACGTCCGCGGTGGTGGTCGTTGGCCACAGCCGGACAGTCCGATGGTAAGGGATGGCCAACACAGATGGACGACACAGATGGACAGCACAAAAGATCGAGCAGCACAACGGTCGACACAGTAGATGATTAACTGGTCAACACACGTCAGGCAGCCTGAGTTGGACAACACAGCATTCTCCACAACAAATTGAACAACACAAATGTAAGCCAAGCCAGAGACATAAAAGTTCTACCTTTTATTTTTCAGTGATTGGTTGTTGTTGTTTTTTTTGGGGGGGAGGGTGCCAAAATACTTTTTGCTTACACTTGAAAATGATCTAGGGCCGTGATGGTGAACCTATGGCACGCGTGTCAGCACTGACACGCATGGCTATTTTTGATGACACGCAGACACATGCAGCCGCATACAGAGAAGTACACCTTATAAGAGCCAATCTAATTCCATCCTTCAATTTGTAAAAGGCTCTACAAATTTAACATCTGCATGTTTGAGCATTGTTCACTCCATAACTCAGCATAGATTACATATTTTTCTTATTTAAACTATAAATATTGTAAAATTATGGTGTGTTTCTCTCTCTCGAAGTGACACCCCACCCAAGTTATGCTCAGGTTTTTGGGGAATTTTGACATACCAAGCTCAAAAGGTTGCCCATCACTGGCCAGTCCTGGTCCTAACCCTCGTCCATTGAAATAAAATGTCTTTTTTGTTTCCAAAGGAATAGTTATTGCTAGCGATGGGAAGTGATGCTATCACAAGGCACTTTCTGTCAAGACTGGAAGGACCTTGCCTATACTGTGTCAAAGCTTACATTACAATGATCCCTATTGATGTATTTACAACTAGCTGTACCCGCCACATGTTGCTGTGGCCAACCTTCCCTCCCTCTTTCCTTCTTTCTCTCCTTCCTTCCCATTTTTTCTTTCCTTCTCTCTTTCCTCCCTTCTCCTCCTCTTCCCTTCCTTCCCCCTCCCTTTTCGTTCCCTTCCTCTTTCTCCCAATTCTTCCTTCTCTACCTATTTTTGGGCTGCAACTCCAAGCAGTCCTCCTGATTGATCTACCTCTATCTAATCTATTTATATGGAAAATTGCTGGGAGTTGCAGGGATTGGGATGCTCTCAAAGAAATCCAAGAAAAATTGCATCTTGGAAAAGTGCATTTGGATCATCCTCCCCTCCTAAAGGGCCTGGTCTAGGGGATGCTGGGAGCTGTGGTCCGGAAGACATGGTAGATATGCTATTGTGAGGGAGTCGTTTTTGTGCATTCGTTGTAGCATCTTCTTGCTTATTTGGGTTTTAAATCCTTCCTCTGTGTTTTTCAGTGTTTTTATGAGTAATGGTCATTCATTGGCCCAATAGGTGTATTGTGTCCAAATTTGGTGTCAATTGGTCCAGTGGTTTTTGAGTCATGTTAATCCCACAAACTAACATTACATTTTTATTTATATAGATTTATATTCCACCCTTCTCACCCCGAAGGGGACTCAGAGTGGATCACAGAACATACATATGCAGCAAACATTCAATGCCGTTTTATGCAGAACTAGACAGACAATTATACATAGAGAAGAGGTATATATATATATATCGGCTTTCCCCATCTTTCCGGCATCTTGGAAGGCTTGATTCTGGCCACGGGGTGGGTGGGAGAGCTGTCGCTCCATCTCCATGCCGAAGATCCGAAGAGCTAGTCTGTAACTTTCCTCCTTTGGACTGAATCTGTTGTACCCCAGTGCAGGAACACCTCTGACCTTCAACATGACACCTGCTTGGTACAGTTTATTGAAGAATATATGTAGGCAAAGCAGTAAAAAATAGCAAAAACAGTAAAGATCCAATATATGAAATAGTCCAAAAGCTTCAAAGGAAAACAAGATTCATGAGTACATAAACATTCATGAAACTAGGCACTTGAAACCATGAAACAAGACAGCAGGAAAATCGCTCAGACAAATCTTAAGCTTGGCAAAAACTTGGTACATGAAACTCAGAGCACTTGAAATCAAGACTGTGATAAAATAACAACATTGATCCGACTGAGGCAACTCTCTCCCATAAAGCTTTTTCAGATCCCAAAACTGAAAGGAAAGCATTTTTCTTGACCTTCACACCAGATAAAGATTTATCTCTCTCTTGCTGTAGCCAAACTGATCATTTCCCACTGAAGACTTTGCCTCTGTTTACTAAAACTTTACTTTCTGTCCAAGCTTTAATTATCTTCTCCCTCATTGACTCCTCCACCTGACAAATCACGGTCCGACCATTGTTCTGAGAAAGGCGACAAAGGGCCTCTCCCAAGACAGCTCAAGCATCTCTTTTGAACTTAACTCAGGCCCACGCAAGCCCTCATCCCCAGGCCCATCATCAAGAAAATCATCCCCATTCTCACCATGAACATCAACATAAACATCAGACACAATCACAGGCTGAGCAGGCTGACATGCAACAGAATTACGTCTGGGTGCCTCAGAATACCTCCCCCGCTTTTTTATGAGCAGTACCTATTTATCTAATCACATTTTCGCTTTCGAACCACGAGGTGGGCGGAAGTTGGCCTAAATCCAGGAGCTCAACCTGACCCAGCTTCAAACTGGCAGCATTTAGACTGACAAGGTTGACTTCAGTTGGTGTTTACATTACAGGGAGATTGCTTTCTGTTGTTCCATAAAGGAGGACCTCCACTTCTGGATTAAAACAATAAGAAAGGGGAATCTACCAAATTTTAGGCTGAACTTCTTGAATGGTCCTCTTTGGGATCAGATGATATGGGTGTCCAGAGAAGCAAAATGCTTTACCAAAACAGCCCCAAGTTGGGAAAAGCTAAAAACCTGAACAGTGTTAGAACCTAAGAAGAAAATGGTCAAAGAAATGAGTCCAAATCAAGCCAAGTTTAACTGGAAGCCATTTCATCTGCTATTTCCCTGTTGCAAAACATTTTATTAATTTTGTCCCAACTCTTTGGATGATGTCTCTCCTGTCTGTAGTCTGTGATGGTTCAAAAGTTAAAACATATCCCGCATGACTGGCATTTGTATGTTTTTTAGCCTGTGTATATTCTCTAGTGCTTGTTATGGGATGACGTCCAAATAAAACATTTCCCATACTTCTGGATTTTTTAACCTTTCTATCCTTTGTATAGTTTTTTGTGGGTGTGGGGAAAGCAAAACATTTCTCACACTCTTGGCATTTCTAAGGCTTCTGTCCTGTGTGGAGTCTTTTGTGCCTCACCAAATGCGAACTGTAAGCAAAACATTTCCCACACTCCTGGCATTGGTATGGTTTCTCTCCTGTGTGGAGTCTTTTGTGGCTCACCAAGGCTGAACAGTCAGCAAAACATTTCCCACACTCCTGGCATTGGTATGGTTTCTCTCCTGTGTGGAGTCTTTTATGGCTCACCAAGGCTGAACGACCAGCAAAACATTTCCCACACTCTTGACATTGGTATGGCTTCTCTCCTGTGTGGACTCTTTTGTGGCTCACTAAGTCTGAACGGTAACCAAAACATTTCCCACACTCCTGGCATTGGTATGGTTTCTCTCCTGTGTGAAGCCTTTTGTGGCTCACCAAGGCTGAACGGTCAGTAAAACATTTCCCACACTCCTGGCATTGGCATGGCTTCTCTCCTGTGTGGACTCTTTTGTGGCTCCACAAGGCTGATTTGTCAGCAAAACATTTCCCACACTCCTGGCATTGGTATGGCTTCTCTCCTGTGTGAAGTATTTTGTGCCTCACCAAGGCTGAACAGTCGGCAAAATGTTTCCCACACTCCTGGCATTGGTATGGTTTCTCTCCTGTGTGGACCCTTTTGTGCCTCACCAAGTTTGAACTTTTAGCAAAACATTTCCTGCACTCCTGGCACTGGTATGGTTTCTCTCCTGTGTGGAGTTTTTTGTGTCCCAGCAAGTCTGAACGGTATCTAAAACATTTCCCACACTCCTGGCATTGGTATGACTTCTCTTCTGTGTGGAGTCTTTTATGCCTCACCAAGTGTGAACTGTAACTAAAACATTTCCCACACTCCTGGCATTGGTATGGCCTCTCTCCTGTGTGGAGTCTTTTATGCCTCACCAAGTGTGAATGGTAACTAAAACATTTCCCACACTCCAGGCATTGGTATGGCTTCTCTCCTGTGTGGAGTCTTTTATGCCTCACCAAGTGTGAATGGTAACTAAAACATTTCCCACACTCCGGGCATTGGTATGGCTTCTCTCCCTTGTGGGATCTCCAGTGGTCTATAAGTTGTGTATTCTGAGCAAAACATTTCTCACACTGCTGGCACTTGTACCTATTCTTTACTGCATGAAGCTTTTTGTGCCTCATCAATGGTGAACTGGAAGCAAAACACTTTCCACAGTCCTGGCATCTATATGGTTCCTGTCTTGTGTGAAATCCCTCATGTTTCAAGTGGGAACTCTGCACAAAAGATGTCCCACACTCCTGGCTTATGATATCGTCAGTTCCTTGAAAGATTTCTTCTTGGCTCCGATGTGGCGATTTGTAATCAGCAATACATTTTGCTGATATTTTCCATTTACAATGGCTTCTCCCAGCACTGAGTCTCTTGTGAAGTATAAGTCCCATATTTTGCGTAAAACATTGTCCACATACATTGCATTTGTAGGGCCTTTCTCTGGCAGAACCTCCATTTTCACTGTGAGTTTGCTGGTGTCTAGGAGGGTCCGCATTGTGTCCCAAATGCATCCTATGTTTGGTGCACACATTGCTCTTCTTCCAGTTATCTGCTGGGAAGAAGAAGGGCAGAAACAATCATTCCTCAGCGTGAGTGATGAGGACTCTGAGGAAGTGGGATAAGGAGTGCATTGATATTATTCTTAAGACAGCATAGACGTGGAGGTGGAGAAGATATAACTGTTGTCATTTCCCCACCTCTTGTTCAGTCAAGATGGACCCTGTTGGACTGCCTCAAGGATCTAAGAGAGATTGAGTCACATATGCTCCAGAGGCTACTGAATGGGGTTGGGAGGAAAAACTCAGCTGAATAACACACCGGAAAAAAGAAGTATAGCCGCCTCTGTGTATCTGAAGCCAGGGAAGTTTGTTCTTTTTGAGGGTCCATTCTCTGGCCCCTCTTTCCAGGCAATCTGCTTCCTCCCTCTCCCAGCCTCTCTCTCTCTCTTACACACACACACACACACACACACCCCTACACAGAGAGAGTAGTGTGACTCAACTGGGGTGATAACTCTTGATGCGTTTTTCGGGGGGGGGGGGGGGGTAAGCTTGACGGCTCCATTTAGGCTCCCGTTATGGAAGTCTTCCCATTAGAGTGTGAATTGGTGCCAACACCACTGTGACTCAGGCACCAAGTCCATGTGACACTTCTGTCCTATATTTCCAACCAAAGCCCTGCCTTGAGAACTCTCAGAGATTGGGATGATGGAGGATCCTGCTCCCACCAGAGAGCTGCTGACTGGGATGCTGCATTTTGAAACAGAAATCCCCAGGAATGAGGGGGCCTTACCAAGAGAGTCCACCATCCCATGAATCTCCTCCATGATCTGCATGTGCAAGGCTTTCTGATCAGGATCCAGGAGAACCCACTCCTCCGGGGGGAAAGGGACAGCCACCTCCTCAAAGGCGATTGGGCCCTGGAGGGAAAAGAAAGAGAAATCCTTCTCACCTGAGACTTGTATACCTGTGCATCTCACTGCTGGCTCATGTCCAACTTGTTGTCTACTAACACTCCCAGATCCCTTTCACATGGACTGTTGTTGAGCCACATGTTACCCACCCTGTAACATTTGGCTGTATCTCTGTGTTGTGTATTTCCTACATTTCTCTTTGTTGAAATTAATTTTTAGTTTTCAACAAGCTCCCTAACATGTTAAGGCCATTTTGAATTCTGATCCTGTCCTCTGGAGTATTATCTATCCCTCCTCATTTGGTGTCATCTGCAAACATGATGAGCATGCCCTCTGAACCTTCATCCAAGGTTCAATAAGAAAGGTGTGGAACAGCACTGGACCCAGGACAGAACCCCCAAAAGAGCCCTGCAGCACTCGTCCCTTCTTTCCAGGATGAAGAGGAACCACTGGGGAGCACCCCTTGTCCATTCTGGAAGACAGAGACACTCTTTGCCTCCTCCACTCTGGTCAGACTTCTCCCGTTCTCAGAGTTCTCAAAGATTGTTGCTCTGGTTCAGCAAGTTCCTTCAGGACTCTTGGGTGTCATTCATGTGGCCCTGGAGACTTGCATTCATTTTTTGTGCCCAGCTATTCCTGGATGACTCCTTTACCTATTTGGGGTTGCATTTCCCCTATGACGCCAACTGCTCCATCTTGCTCAAGCGGAATACGGATTCCCTTTTGGGAGAGGACTGAGGCCACGTTCTCCCTCTTCCCCATCCCCTGTTTGTATTGCACCACCTTCTCTCGGCACAGATCCTATCACTTCTTTGTTTTTCCTTCTTCTACTGACACAACCAAATAACCCGCTTTTTAGTTTTTAATCTCTCTGGCAAGGTTGCCAGACCTTTTTCTTACTTCTGCTGGTTAGTCGTTTGAAGTGATTTTCCCCCTTCTCCGTTTCTCGAACACGTGCCTTGGAAATCTTAGCTCAGCTGAAAGTTCTTTGAACATCCATTCTGGTTTCTTTAGACGACTCTTATTTATTTTATACTCCTTGTTGGCACTGTTTGCAATTGTGCCTTCAGTATCTCACTTTGAATAAACTCTCATTCAATCTTTTCTGTTTCAAGAGATGGTTGATGATTAAGCCTGGAAGGAATGACCCCCAGACGGCTCCCTTCCTCCTCTCCCAGGAATCCTTCTGCTTACCTGATTCACTCCATCACAAAACGACTGAGGATTCGGCAACAACCTCATTCCAGCCCCTGGGAAAAAGAGAGAGAGAGAGAGAGAGTGTAAAGTGTGGAAAGCTGAACACATAAACATGCCTCAGAGGTGACCATTAAAGACCGAAAAAGAAACCTATGAGGAAATGACCCTATGAACTCAGGAGCATTCAACAGCACAAGAATATGTAAAAATTTAGGGTTTAGACTTGGTTTCACAAGTAGTGTTGTGAGTACACTGAAATGAAAGTTACTAGTTTCCAACAGACCCCTCAACCTCTGAAGATGCCTAGCATAGATATGGGTGAAATGTCAGGAGAGAATGCTTCTGTAACATGGCCATATAGCCTGAAAAATACAAAGCAACATCTCAAGGCCAAAAGATCCTTCATGTGCACCTTCTCAAGTTCAAACTGTGGATGTGCTACAATCCTCTCAAATGGGAACTTACACTGGCATAAAATACCAAAACTGCCAGAAGCGTTCCTTCTTACCCTGCCAGGCTGCAGCCCCCTCTCCTTCCTCTCCTTCCTCTCCTTCCTGCTTCAGCTCCTTCTGCCGGAGGCTCTGCTTGGTGTCCGAGTGAGGCTTTTCTGATGAAGGGTGGACTTCCATGCAGTTATTTTGGGCCTGGAAGAGCAGATAGTATTCCAGAAGTAGTATGCAGATTGTCCAAAAATATCACAGACCTATGTGCGGAAACTGCGTGGATTTTTTTTTAAAGAATAACTTGTGAGATGGCCACTTAACGAATGCTACATTCCCCCTCCCATCATTTCCAGTGTGTTATATCTAAGATCAACAAATTAGAGTTGAGGAGCAACCGAGCTTACAGTGGATATGGAGGTGAGAGCAGGAGGGGCAGAGCAAGGGGGGAAGAGGGGCCGAGGGAACAGAGTCCGGCTTCTCCCTCACATCGGTCCCATCTTGGAAGATGTACATTTAATCTATCCATCAGTTGCAAGGTGAGGGAACCCAAGAGGCAATGGTCTCACCTGTCCTTCCTGCTTCTCGTCCTCTGCCCGACTCAGGAGGAAGCCTTCCGCCAGGGCCACCGCCTGGGAAGAGGTCTCTGCCCCACACTCTCGGACCCAGCTCCCCATCTCTGGGGGCAGGAGGCTCAGGAACTGCTCCAGGATCACCAGGTCCAGCATCTCCGCCTTGGTGTGTTGCTCTGGCTTCAGCCACTGGCGGCAGAGAGAGTGGAGGCGGCTGCAAACCTCTCTGGGCCCCTCGCCCTCTCGGTAGGAGGACTGCCTGAAGCGCTGGCGCTGTATGTGCGCATTAGGGAACATGGGTGTAGCTATTTCCCAGGATTTCCCACTGCTCCTGGAGGCCTTGCCTGCTTCAGGTAAAGGTGAGTTGGGTTTCTCCATGTTGGAGCCACTCTTTGATGAAGAACCCAACCGTATCTCAGGTGCCTTTCCTCCCTCTTCTCTCAAGGGAAAGAAATCCTTCAACAAGCTCGTCTGCAAAATGCTCAGGCAACCCTCACATTTCCTCTGTGAAAGAAAGACAGAAGTCAAGAAGAATGGGAAGAACTCTGGAAAGAAATGACTAAAACTTACCAGGAGTCACACCATCAACAAAATTATATATAGATGGGACATAACTCCTGAAAAACTGCGAAAGAGCTTTTAAAAGATTCGCATGCGAACAAGTAACTGGAACTTCCTCTCATTTGTGGTGAAAGAGTTCTGGATAAAAAAAAAATCCACAGAGACACGGAAACTAGACTAAAGCACAAACTCCCATTAAAACCAGAACTTTTTCTCCTGGGATTGTGAGACAAGCAGACATGGAAACGTCGAGAAAGAATCTTTCCTTATATGACAACAGAAGCAGGAGCTGAATACACAAAATTATGGAAACAACAAAAGATGCCAACACCAGGAAATTGGATGGAAATGCCCCAAAATGGAGAAATTAACTCTGGCTGCAAAACAAAGAAATACACACAAACTTCCAGAAGAATGGAAACCCTTCATTGAATGTATAAAGAACCAAAGGAAGGGGAGCACAGCAGGGAGTGTGGACTACAATGGGATTAATAGGTTGTAGGTCCATTTTGGACTATTACACAAAGAGACTTCAGAGCAGTTTTCTCAACCTGGGGGTCGGGACCCCTTGGGGGGTCATGGGGGGGGTGTCAGAGGGGTCACTTAAGACCATCAGAAAACACAGTATTTTCTGTTGGTTATGGGAGTTTTGTTTTGGTGGGGTTCAGAATGCTCTTTGATTGTAGGTGAACTATAAATCCCAGCAATTACAACTGTCAAATGCCAAGGTCTATTTCCTCCCAAACTCCACCAGTGTTCACATTTGGGCATATTGAGTATCCGTGCCAAGTTTGGTCCAGATCCATCATTGTTTGAATCTGCAGTGCTCTCTGGATGTAGGTGAACTACAACTCCCAAACTCAAGGTCAATGCCCACCAAACCCTTCCAGTATTTTCTGCTGGTCATAGGAGTTCTGTGTGCTAAGTTTGGTTCAATCCCATCATTGGTGGAGTTCAGAATGCTCTTGGATTGTAGGTGAACTATAAATCCCAGCAACTACAACTCCCAAATGACAAAATCAGTCCCCCCCAACCCCACCAGTATTCAAAATGCATTCCAGATATTTACATCATGATCCATAACAGGAACACAATGACAGTTGTGAAGTAGCAACACAAATAATGTGATGATTGGGGTCACCACCACACCAGGAACTGAATGAAGGGGAGAGGAGAGAAGCCTCCCACAGGAGGGTAAAACATCTGGGCATCCCAATTGCCTCATACCAGAAGTCCTTTGTTTGCAGGGCTTTGGAGAGAGAGAGAGAGGCTCCTTCCCCTCCTTCCAGGGTCAGGCTGGGCAAGGAAGGGTTAAGGGGAGAGAGTATGGTCTTCCTAGAGAGGCAGGAAGGAAGTGGGCCTCCCCACCCCAGACCCGCCTTTCCTGCCCCTCTAGGAACCAGACTCCCTTCTGTTCACCCTTCCTTGCCTGGCTGGGAGAGGAGAGTGTCCCCTTTGGCCTCTCCTTCCTCTTCCTCCTCCTGGTCTGTTTCCTTCTCTTCCTCCTTCTTCCTCTTTTCCTTCCGGTGAGTCCTCTTTTCCCATTCCTTCTCCAAAGGGCGGAAGAGGGGCTGGAGCCCAACACACCTGGAGGGAAGGAGGGAGGGCCAAAGGGGGCCCAGGCCTGGCCTCACCTGGGGTTGGTTGGGGGTCCCCACATCCTCCAACCAGGGAGAGAGAACAAGGTGTGCAGCCACTTCTACTCTCACTGAAGAGTGCTGAGAGGCCAATTCTTTCCAGTGTGCCTTCCCAGAATAATGATCATAGAATCAAAGAGTTGGAAGACACCTCGTGGGCCATCCAGTCCAACCCCATTCTGCCAAGAAGCAGGAATATTGCATTGTGTCCAATTCTGGGCACCACAATTCAAGAGAGATATTGGCAAGCTGGAATGTGTCCAGAGGAGGGCGAATAAAATGATCAAGGGTCTGGAGAACAAGCCCTATGAGGAGCGGCTTAGGGAACTGGGCATGTTTAGCCTGAAGAAGAGAAGGCTGAGAGGAGATATGATAGTCATGTATAAATATGTCAGAGGAAGCCACAGGGAGGAGGGAGCAAGCTTGTTTTCTGCTTCCTTGGAGACTAGGACGCGGAACAATGGCTTCAAACTACAAGAGAGGAGATTCCATCTGAACATTAGGAAGAACTTCCTGACTGTGAGAGCCGTTCAGCAGTGGAACTCTCTGCCCCCGAGTGTGGTGGAGGCTCCTTCTTTGGAAACTTTTAAGCAGAGGCTGGATGGCCATTTGTCAGGGGTGATTTGAATGCAATATTCCTGCTTCTTGGCAGAATGGGGTTGGACTGGATGGCCCAAGAGGTCTCTTCCAACTCTTTGATTCTATGACTCTATGAGTCCACACTCCCTGCTCTGCTCCCCTTCCTTTGGTTCTTTAGACATTCACTGAAGGGTTTCCATTCTTCTGGAAGTTTGTGAGTATTGGTTTGTTTTGCAACCAGAGTTAATTTCTCCATTTTGGGGCATTTCCATCCAATTTCCTGGTGTTGGCATGTCTTCTTGTTTCCATCGTTTTGTATATTCAGTTCCTGCTTCTGTTGTCATATAAGGAAAAAATCTTTCTCGACGTTTCCATGTCTGTCTCACAATCCCAGGAGAAAAAGTTCTGGTTTGAATGGGAGTTTGAGCTTTAGTCTAGTTTCCGTGTCTCTGTGGATTTTTTTTTATCCAGAACTATTTAGCTTTTGGAAACGTCCACCACAAATGAGAGGAAGTTCCAGTTACTTATTTCCATTCCCAACATATGCTGGATCTTTGAAAAGCTCTTTCACAGTTTTTCAGGAGTTCTGTGCCATCTATATATAATTTTGTTAAAATGTTTTTGATGGTGTGACTCCTGGTAAGTTTTAGTCATTTATTTCCAGAGTTCTTCCCATTCTTCTTGACTCCTTCTGCCTTTCTTTCACAGAGGAAATGTGAGGGTTGCCTGAGCATTTTGGAGTCGAGCCAGTTGAGGGATTTCTTTCCCTTGAGAGAAGAGGGAGGAAAGGCATCCCGGATACAGTTGGGTTCTTCATCAGAGTGGCTCCAACATGGAGAGACCCAACTCACCTTTACCTGAAGCAGGACTTCAAAGCAGTGGGGAATCCTGGGAAAGAACTACGCTGACATTCCTGGATGCGCACACACAGCGCCAGCGCTTCAGGCATTCCTCCTTCCGAGAGGGAGAGGGACCCAGAGAGGTTTGCAGCCGCCTCCACTCTCTCTGCCGCCAGTGGCTGAAGCCAGAGCAACACACCAAGGCGGAGATGCTGGACCTGGTGATCCTGGAGCAGTTCCTGAGCATCCTGCCCCCAGAGATGGGGAGCTGGGTCCGAGAGTGTGGGGCAGAGACCTCTTCCCAGGCGGTGGCCCTGGCGGAAGGCTTCCTCTTGAGTCGGGCAGAGGACGAGAAGCAGGAAGGACAGGTGAGAGCATTGCCTCTTGGCTTCACTCACCTTGGGACCGATGGATAAGCATACATCCTGCTTTTCTTCCAAGATGGGACTGACGTGAGGGAGAAGCTGGACTCTCCTCCCTCAGCCTCTCTTCCCCCCTGCTCTGCCCCTCGTGCTCTCACCTCCATATCCACTGTAAGCTTGGTTGCTGCTCCATCCAAATTTGTTGACCCCAGATATCACACTGAAAATGACAGGAGGGGGAATATGGCATTTGTTATTCTTTTAAAGAAATCCATGCAGTTTCTGCATATAGGTGTGATATTTTTGAAAATTCTCCGTACGACTTCTGAAATGCTATCTGCTCTTCCAGGCCCAAAATAACTGCATGGAAGTCCAGCCTGATGTCCCTTCACCAGAAAAGCCTCACTCGGACACCACGCAGAGCCTCCGGCAGAAGGAGCTGAAGCAGGAAGGAGAGGAAGGAGAAGGGGCTGCAGCCTGGCAGGGTAAGAAGGAACCCTTCTGGGAGTTTTGGTGCTTTATGCCAGTGGAAATTCCCCTTTGAGGGGATTGTAGCACATCCCCAGTTTGAGCTTGAGAAGGTGCACATGAAGGTTCATTCAACCTTGAGATGGATATATATCTTAAACTCACATCCTTCGTTTGATATCTGTTTTATGTACATTAATATGTATTTCATAGAAAATCAGTTTAAATGTGGATCTTTTATAGAAATATGTATATTTGTTGAATTTTGCAATGTTTGTGTTTTGTAAATTGTGTTGTAACCCTCTTCGAGCCACACAGAGAGACAGATAAGAAATAAAATAATAATAATAATAATAATAATAATAATAGTGTTGCTATGCCTTTTTCGGGCTGTCTGGCCATGTTCCAGAAGGATTCTCTCTTGACGTTTCACCCACATCTATGCCAGGCATCTTCAGAGGTTGAGGGGTCTGTTGGAAACTAAGTAAGTGAGGTTTATATATCTGTGGATTGTCCAGGGTGGGTTTGTACAAATGCTACGCTCAGCAAAGTAAAAGAGGGGTCCTCTCACCTCTGCAGCAGTCTACCGTATACCATGCAGCTGTGGACAAGTCTACAGAGGGGCCACCAAACACCGCAGCAGCATTGCCCAGGCATGAATTAAGGCAAAAGAAAGGCACTGCAGGCTGATTCAACCAGAGAAATCAGCCATAGCCGAGCCCTTCATGAACCAACCTGGGCACAGCATATTATTTGTGAACACAGAAATGCTGGACCACTCTCACAATCACCCAAACCGAAGATGAGCCTTGAAACTGAGCTGGAAGACAAACAGGCAACAAACAGTAACTTCAGTCAACTGCAATACCAAGCCCAGGACTTGTTTCCTTTCAACCTACTCACAGCACTCCTTGTGAGGCAAAGTCCTAAACCCTAAAATCTTACATATTCTTGGGCTGTTGAGTGCTCCTGTGTTCATAGGGCCATTTCCTCATAGGTTTCTTTATAGGACTGTAATTGTAACCTCTGAGGCATGTTTATGTGATCAGCTTTCCACA